ACTGGGGGATTCTAGGCAGGGGCTCTACCACTGAGCCACGCCCCCAGACCCTCGCTGGAGGATCCTAGGCATAGGTTCTACTCCAGATTTTGCTAATTTGAAACTATGCAGAAACAGCAACGTGAAGTGTCGGCAAGGATGCGGAGGACTTCAATCCCCATACACTGTGGAAGGGAATGCAAAATGGCGCAGCACTGTGAAAACGGTTTGTCAGTTCCTTATGGAAACGTATAACCCACCCATTCCACTCCTAGGTGTTCACCCAGGAGAAATGAAAATGTGCATTCACACAAAATCTCACTTGAGAATGTTTATAATAACTGTGTACCCCCCACCCCCCACCCCTAAGTAGGACACAGACCAAAGTTCCCTGGCTGGCACATGGAACTTTGGTTCATTCATTCTCCAATGAACAATAGTCAACCTGAGAAAGGAACTGTTGGTCTGGACCTAGTGGTTCACATTTGTAATGCCAGAACCCAAGAGTCTGAGGCAGGAGGATTGTTGTGAGTTTGTGACCCGCCTGGGCTACTTAGTGATTTCCTTACTAACTGGAATTCAGAGTGGCACTCTGTCTCAAACAAAAAAAGACAGACAAACAGACAGACAGACAAAGAAAAGTTACACGTGCCTTGGCTCAATATCTGAACCCCTAGTAAATGTGGAAGGACCACACCGCCTCCTCAGTTCTAGGACTGCAGACATTCACAATCTGGTTTTACTTCTTTTTTTTTTTTTTTTTTTTACCTAAACGATCAGTACAAGCCAGGTACTGTGCTATATGCCAATGAGGCCAGCACCTGAGATCAGGTGTTCAAGATCATCCTTGGCTATAAAGTAAGTTTTGAGGCCAGCTTGGCCTGTAAGAGAGCACAAAGCACTGAAAGATTTAAAATAAATAAATAAATAAATAAATAAATACATAAGCAAGGGTCCCTTTAGTTCTACCATTTGGGAGGCAAAAGCAGGAATCTCTCTGAGTTTGAGGCCAGCCTGGTCTACATAGATTTCTCAAACAGCCCAGGCTACATAGGGAGAGCCTGTCTCAAAAAAAAAGTTTTTTAAATTAAAATTTAAAAGTAGCACAAAAAGCGGTTAAGAGCACTGACTGCTCCTCCAGAGGTCCTGAGTTCAATTCCCAGCAACCACATGGTGGCTCACAACCATCTGTAATGGGATCTGATGCCTTCTGCTGGTGTGTCTGAAGACAGCTACAGTGTACATAAAACATAAGTACACATAAAATAAATATATCTTTAAAAAAAGTAGCACAAAAGAAGTACACACAGAGATGCACACGTGTATTCACATGGCCATATGTTCCACATACAGGGACACATTACATACTTTCTTGCACAGGCACAATATGAAGGTCTGCCTGTGCACCACATATACACACACACACAGATGCACACACAGGCACAGACACACACAAAAACACACAAAGACACACACACTAAGAGACATAAACACAGACACACAGATACTCACAAACATACATACTCTGAAACACATGCAAACACTGACACACACACATTCATAGACACATATACACTCAGGCATGCACATGCAGACACAGACACTCACATACTCACACACACAGACACACATACACACTCAGACACACACATGCAGACACATACACAGACACACATACACAGACAGACACACACACAGACACAAGTCAGAGACTCACTCACACAGATGCTCAAACATACATGCATACACAGACACACACATTCATAAATACACACACAGGCAAAGACAGACAGACAGACACAGACACACACACTCAAAGACACACAGACACACAGACACAGACACACACACATACACCTTACATCCTTCTGCTCACCTGATCAGGAAGTGGACGCAGATGATACTTTCTGACTGGGGGCCTCTCCCCCCTGACACCACTGTAGCCTGAGTCTGAGTCCACAGATAACCTCCAGTTCGGGCCAGGAAGCGATACTGTCCCGTTACTGCTTGGCCCTTGCTCAGCACTGGGGAGAGGGAAGGTAGGAGTAAGAGTCACTGCAGGGACACCTAGGGACAGAAAGCTCAGGAAGCTGGAATGAGGAATGGGAGATCGTAGAAGACAAAAATTCTTTGGGCTATGTAGACCCTAGTATTTGGGGTTCAGGGGGAGACAGGAGTCCTACAAAGCCATGGGTTTTTTCTTTGGGCTATGCAGACCCTAGTATTTGGGGTTCAGGGGGAGACAGGAGTCCTACAAAGCCATGGGTTTTGTGGTTCAGAAGACCAAGAATTGATGTCAGCTGGGGCCATACAGCAGCTGGCATTGGCTTGGGGGCATGTTGGTCACGTACAGGTGTGGATGCTCCTGCTGACTGCATCAGAGTCCAAAGCATGGATGTATTCATAGGCAGAACAGCCAATCAGGTCATCAGGGCTGTAGCCAGCAACATCTGCAATCCTGGAGTAAAACGGAGAGGTACTGGTCAAGGCCCTGATGGAGGAAAGGGGCAAGTGTCTTAGACAACACCAGCAAGATGAGAGACAGGGCAGCCACAGAAAGGCAAGGGGAGGATAATACACAGAGAAAGAGAGTAAAATGTGGTGACTTACACCTGTGACGCAGCACTCAGGAGGCTGAAGCAGAATTGCGAACTTGAACCTTGGGATACAGCAAGGCCTTATCTTACAAAACCAGGGACTCAGGGCATGGCTTAGTGGTAGAGCCTAGAATTCCTCAGTGAGGACTGGGGGCGTGGCTCAGTGGTAGAGCCCCTGCCTAGAATCCCCCAGTGAGGGGCTGGGGGCGTGGCTCAGTGGTAGTGCCCCTGCCTAGAATCCCCCAGTGAGGGGCTGGGGGCGTGGCTCAGTGGTAGAGCCCCTGCCTAGAATCCCCCAGTGAGGGGCTGGGGGCGTGGCTCAGTGGTAGAGCCTCTGCCTAGAATCCACCAGTGAGGGGCTGGGGGCGTGGCTCAGTGGT